ATGTGGGCTTGCAGCCCAGAAAGCCAACCATATCCTGGGCTGCATCAGAAGAAGCGTGACCAGCAGGTCGAGAGAGGTGATTCTGCCCCTCTGCTCCGCTCTCATGAGACCCCACCTGGAGTACTGCGTCCAGCTCTGGGGGCCCCAGTACAAGACAGACATGGAGCTGTTGGAGCAGGTCCAGGTGGGTTACAAAAATGATCAGAAGGCTGGAGCACCTCTCCTGTGAAGACAGGCTGAGAGAGTTGGGATTGTTGAGCCTGAAGAAGAAGAGAAGGCTTCGGGGAGACCTTAATGCAGCCTTGCAATATATAAGAAAGACAGAAAGAGACTTTTTACCAAGACCAATAGTGTCAGGACAAGGGGCAATGGCTTTAAACAAAGAAGGTAGATTTAGATTGGATGTAAGGAAGAAATTTTTTCAATGCAGTTGGTGAGACGCTGGAACAGGTTGCCCAGAGAAGCTGTGGATTCCCCCTCCCTGGAAGTGTTCAAGGCCAGGTTGGATGGGGCTTTGGGCAACCTGGTCTAGTGGAGGGTGTCCCTGCCCATGGCAGGGGGGGTGGGACTAGATGAGCTTTAATATCTCTTCCAACCCCAACCATTCTGTGATTCTACCAGGATCTAAATTATTTGGTGCTTAAACCGCTAAACTTTAGTTAATAACCATGTGGTAGTTTTTTAATTTAGCGTGATTTCAAGTCCTTCATGAGCAATGTTTCTAAGGTAACGGAGTGACAAAGAACTTGGCGGGGAGAATAGACACAGTGTGCTGCCATCTTTGACACCCAGGTCCAAAGAAGAGAGTGCACTTCCACTGTGAGATTTCCCCACACAGCAGAAGAAATCTGGGCTCCATATACTGTAAACAAACACTATTAATAATAGTTTTAAGAAATGGAGCAATCACATGATTTTGTGCTTTAGCACTGAGACTATTAAAGTTTTCTGAATGTGAACCTCAACTGTATGCTGGATATTAAAGATTTATATTAAATTTATAATTTTATTTTTTGTTTTTTCTTTATAGTTTAATGTTTACATTGAAAAGAAAAGAATAAGCTTGGACAAGGACATTAAAAAAAATAGCTTGTGCCTCTAATTATAAGAGAACAGATCTGCAAGTTAAGCTTTCCTTGTAGCTTGTAATTTTCCAATATCGGGGCAGCAAATGAGCGCCGATAAGGCTGCCTGCTGGTGAGGGCAGTAAGAGCTTTTCTCAGCTAGAAGCTGTTCCTTCACATAGCAAATGTTTCCCTCCCTGCTGCAGAATATGAGAGGAAATAAATAGGTCAAGCTTGTGGTGCTAAAGCACTCTGAGTTTGTAACCATAAATAAAATTACTTTAAAACAGTTAGAGACACGTTTGAAAAATTAATGACACTTATCCTTTCTATTTTTCCCGGTTTTCCTAGTGCTTTTCCTGCTATGAGTACTTCACTGTGTTGTGGCTGAGTGTGAAAAAAAAACTCACCAGCACTAAGAACTGATTAGCAACCCTACAAAACAGCAGCCTTGCAGGAAAAAGGGAAAAATGTCTGATTTAAGTTTCCAGCAGAGCATTAGGAAAAACTTCAATTAAAGTTATTTTCTAAAAACCTTGAAAATTCAGCAACTCTGTTTCTTTTTAATTAGCTACTGTGATCCACACCCCTGCTGAGTCAAGGGTTGCCTAGACTCTCAGGGAAAATAAGGACAATCCTATCTATGTGCAATTGGGAGACCGGATCCTTCTCCCAACTCCCCTTACATCATAATTTTATAGTTGGCTTACCACAGCAAAGGTGTACTTTCAAAACAAATTATACGTGTGTGTATATATATATAGTCACAATAATTAGAACTCATTTCCATTGTGTTTCCAGACATTATTAGAAAAGGGAACAAAAAACTTTGCATAAAATATTGTTCTCCCCACTCAGAGAAATTAACTGAATTAGGTGGCACAACATAAAATTTCTATTCATAAAGCAGTTATTAATTTTACAGCCTTTGCAGCTCCTTTGTGCTCCTTTGTTCAGTGGTGAAAAAAGAAATTTAAGCAGGTTATTTGGGTTAAAGAACTATTTCTGCACCCTCTTCCCCAACATTTGATCTAGTCCAGAGGACAGCTTAGCAGAAAAAGAGAATCTGATTTTTGGACTTTATGTACTACACTTGGCACACCTGGAGAGGACAGGACATTGGAAAGGAGTCAGCAGACTTGGCTTGGGCATTCACAGATTGCATGGCCTCAAGCAACATCTTTGCCTTTTGTGCCCAATATTTCTTTTAAATGATATATCACACCATATGATGTCATTCTCAGCAATAAAACATGGGGTGGGCTGGAGTGGGGTGTGTGTCCAAAGTAGCCATTGCTCAGGGACCTGCTGGGCATCATTCTGCTGGTGGGAGGTGGTGAGTCATTGCCTTTGCACCATTTTTTTCTTTTTTTGTTCTTCACTTATTAAACTTGACTCACTTTTTTTGCCTCACTTTTGCCCTTCTGTTTCTCTCCCTGTGCAGCTGTGGGGAGTGACTGAGTGACAGGGTGGGGGTTTCCCTCAAACTGTTGTAGGCTATAGACATCCAATTAGAAAGCATTGCTCTATGCTTATTCTATTCTTCTGGTCAGCTATATCATCTACATGTTTATCTGTTTCATTTATTACCAGAGCCAGGATACAGGCTATGTGAACATTTGGCCCTGCCTGCTACAGCCATTTTATAGTCTTACATACTTACTCCAGTAACCATTTGTGTGGCACCGCTTGATTTCTGCCATTATTTCACAGTTCATTTTCACGTGCCGGTAACTTTTTCAATAGTGGTTGGAGTCAGGGCTAGATCCTGACTCCAGGATTTACTCAGATCAGCCTTTCTTTACATAGAAAAACATATGTCTTCCTTATGAATGCCTCACAGGCTGCTCAAAGCCAAATTTAGAGGAGTTTTAACAAACTTATGGGAAGTTTTTAGCACTGGAACTGGAGAGAAATTAAATTGCTTCTTGTTTCAATGGAGTTTTACCAACAAAACTTACCTCTGCTTCAGCTGTAGTCAGCAAGGACCCAGGTCATTACAGGAAGAATATTCAAACCTTTCAGTATAACTGATTTCCACTTAGTTTTGTAACTATGGCCATGTACATGTTCACCTGCTTTTCCTCATTCACAAAATTCATTCTCCATATGGGATGGGCAGGTTTTGAACTGTCAAATACTTGCTTACCTATGCACTGGTTTTCTGCAGCTTTTGATACTCATTGTGGCCAATATGGCAGTGATGAGGTTCTGTAATGAGACACGTATCAACTTCAAGCACTGGTATAATAAAGATAGTGGATACAAGGATAACACTTTTCTGAAGGCGGCCTTAAGCAGACATACTCAGGGGACATGCCCACGCTGGAAGGGACTGGCCTTATCCTAACAGCAATATTTAGGCTGAGGTGATCAGGCACGGATTACAGAAGATGTGGATAAGAAAAGTTATTTCTGGATACCTGACTCAGTCTATGGCTGGAGCAAGATCTTCTCCACCAGCACCTTTACTTCCTTAGGAGGTTCAAAGCAGGCAGAGAGTAGGTGCTTCTGAGACCTAGAATGGATCCAAGAGGGTGATGCTTGGATCTAGATTTGCACACACAAAAGCAGACTGAGTTTTATGGTCTCTCCTTCACAGGATGAGACTGACTTTCAGTACCCTCTTAGAAGAAGAGAAAGTTAAAACTATAGTTGAATCTATGATTGTTCCAAAGAAGAGGTAAATAAACCCAGTCCTTAGAGGTGGAAACAGCTATAGAGTAAAAATCCCACCAGTCTGCTAGAATTTGGCACAGATAAAGCGTTGAGGACTGAAAGCTAAGTATCAGTATGAGCCTTTAGAGAAGGACATCAGCTGCTCCAATAATTGAAGAAGGCCCTAAATATTTCAGAGAAGGCAGCCAGAAGAGGATGTATGTGCTGTAGAAGACATACTTGGAGAACTATTAAAGTAGGCTGGGGGCGGAGAAGGAAAAAGACTAGCCATACGCCTTGAACATCATATGGTGACCCTCAACTTTCCTACTTCTCCTTCAAGAGAAGGATTAATTGAGGGAGAGCAAAGAGGAGTCAGAAGGCAGAGCACTGAAGTAAATCACTTACCTCCTCTTCCTTGAGCCTCTTGTCCTTATGTGGATTTAGCAACAGAGCTTGAAAAAGCATTGAGGCTACCCAGTTGAGAAGCATCCCTGGCTGGCAAACAGCCTCTTAGACAAACTGCTGGTTGCTGCTTAGTTGGCAGTTTGAGGCTCACTGCCCTGCACAACAGGACTAAGGAAACTTTGAAACCTATGCATAGTTGTCACTCTTCTTCTCTGTGGAAGATGTATGACAGAGCTTTTGTTTGGATGAGGCCAAGATAGTGACCTGGCACAAGATGCCGCTTCATCCCCTCTGAGAATGCAAGAGACAGAAGAAGCTGTAGGTACATGAAAGTGGAATAGAGGAAAACGGCACTTGAGTCCTAAAAGGCTTTTCAGTCCCTGGTGAGACAAAAGCTGAGGCAACCACATATCTACGGTAGAGACAAGCAACGGGCTTTCAGAAGCATGGTGAGATGATGTTAGGAAAAAATGCATCTCTCAAGTGAAGGGTAGCAACTAGTAAGAATTTGCAACAATATTCTTATATCCAAGAATAAGTGCCTTTAAAAAGACATCAAATAGATTTTTAAGAATAAACGTAGAGTGGCAAAATAGTGATGCCTCCAGCCGACTTAAAATTATAAAATGCTAGTGACTCAGATCTTGTGGTTTATGGACCAGCCGCTTCTACTCTTCTTGAGGAAATTCTTCATTAAAACAAAGCTCCAGCTAGATCAGCCTACTGGATTTACTCAATAATTTTGAGAAATGAGGCTTGTGTGCCTGCATGAATTGGACTGGAAGGCCCTTTTTCCTTTTTAAAGACCACAGTATTTACAGCTTTAAATGCTATGTCAATTTAAATGTTATAATGTTTCACAATCATGTATTTAAACACAGAAATCTGTTTATTTACTCAAACAAAACAGAGGAAATGATTCCAGCCCTCAAGTTTTGAATTCTTGTTTAAATATGTGAACATCAGTCCACAACTTAGAGATGTTTGTGTATCTATGTACCTCCAAAATACTCATATTTCATAGGCTTTTTCACATTAATATTCACCAACAGTATCACAAAAGTTCTTTTTCTTTTACATAACTGTAAGCAACAGTAATTCTAGAAACACTAGAGAAAAAAAAGCATAGCAATGTCCACAGTTACAAGAAAAAGTGCACATTACTTGGTCACAATCACAGTCATTACTTGGAAAACTATATGTAACAAGTAGATATAAAATATCACTGATGCCTTAAACTCATTGTCAAAAATGGAATTACATAAAATTTTGTACATGAAATAAGGCAAATTTAGGAATGCACAAGAAACTTGTTATTCAACAAAAGCTAAACAACAGAACAGATAGTACAGTAAGCATAAACTAAAGTACTTTTTACTATATACTTAAAAATAAGCCTGCCGTAGTGCACAAAGAAAACACCATTAATGTGTAATCAATATTATACAATAAGAAATAGAGGGGTTGGGAAGAGTGGGGAAGGGGAGAGAAGAGTTTTATTATACTTGCAGCTGCATCCATTTACAGTTTTGTACAGGTTTTAGCTAGGCCTGTATTTGTATTATACAAATCATACCAGAAGTGTCAATGATGACCTTCCTCCGTAAGAATTTTGTTTAAATTAAGGAAAAAAAAATAAATACACACAAGAGTGCAAATTTTCAGATTGTCACTTGCAACCTCTTAACATTCATCATCTACATCCAATCACAACTAGAGGGACTTGTACAGGACAGCAGCAGTGATCATGGAGTTAGATGAGCTTACCGTAAGAAATCAATTTATCTTTTTTTTTTTCTTTTTCTCAATGATATGTCTTTTTTAAAAAACCCTCAACTCTTTATTAATTGCTAATAAAGCTGCAATATATTACAGAATGGAGTTGAGAATGGTATGAATGCAGGAAATGCATGCTTCCTTTGGAAGGTATTCCATAGATGACAATTTACAGTACACGGGGGAAGAATTATCCAGCATCAAGAGTTACTCGTTGTAGAAAGAATATGAAGTTGGGGAGAAGGGCACAGTCAGGGGTTTCAAGAGAGGAAGGAGGGGGGGGACTTACAATAGCTCCTCAAAACATTTTCAGGACCAGTGAAAAAGTTTACCAAAGTAAAAATGAAAAATCTTGAATGAAAACAAAAATTTTTTGTTTTGTTTTTTATAAAAATTACATTTTTTTAAAATACAAGATCCTTTTAATTGCAATTGTGCCCTGTAGCAACAGGACATTTGGCAACGTTTTGCCATATACTGCAGCTTTAAGTCCAATGAGTCAGTATCACATTCCACTAATATTGCACTTGGATCTTGAACCTTTTTTTTTTTTTAAACCATCACAGCATCTTCTGTTTCCTCCACTTGTTAGAACGAGTTAATTTCTAGCCACTTTTTTGATATTTATGCTGACACACTAAAACAAAAGCAATAGGCTGGACACAGTAAAGTACCTCAGAAATACCAGAGGTTGAAGTTCACTCGAAGCACCTTAACACATCACTTTATGGATCAAGAACAGTGTGGCATTATGGTAATTAACTCTCCTAAAAGACTGTGCAGTAACTGAAGTGTGTGCTCTGGGAAATCAAAATGTCATTAGTGGAAACTCTGAGATAAGACCAGGCCAGTGTGAAGGTCACATGACTCAGTTCTGCTGCAAAATAAGGTTTTCCAGTTCATCTGCAGAACGCAATAAAAATGCGGCTGATTCTCGATCCCCTGCCACAAGCTGCCTCACTGCATTTATTTCAGTTGGACTCAGCTGGGGTCTAGAGCTTGAACTACTGGAGGATCCAGAGCTGGTTGCTAACTGCCTCTTCATACTAAGATCTGTTGGACCTGCAGATAACAAAAGAAAAGAAAAGAAGCTTCAGATCTGCTGCCGGAGACTTTTCACAGGTTTGTAGCTACAAGTGCAGAGTAGCAAAATCTGCTCTCAGCTGTGAGAGTGCCAGTGAGAAGCAGCAGAAACAAGCAATAACTGTTCAGTTACCAGTTGCCTTGACAGGAACCACAGTGATTTATATTTATATATGACAGACACCCTTTAAGTTCTACTTACGTAACACGAGCAGCAAGCCCACTGCCAGCAGAAAATTAGCCTCCTGGGGGCATCCCAACAGCGTAAGCCCCTTGCAACCCAACACTGCCCTGGGATCTGAGGCTGGTGAGCAGGCAGAAGGTTCATATCCTGTGCCTCCCCCAGCTCCAGCTGCCATTATAGTCCCCATGGCAATCTGCACACTTGCAGTTTTTATCACAGAATATCAAACTTACATTCTCTAGATATCTATTTTCACATTTTATGCTTCAGTCAGCATGCAGCGAGATCGTGAATCCCTTACAGACGCAGATAAATGGTCATTCACTTGACTAGCCCTGACGCCATGTGATCTCTTATATAAATAGCTGGTCATGAATGAGATTAGGCTGGTGACAATCTGGCTGCTACACCGAGGAGTACACTATCATCTGTGGGGGCTGCATACAGCTGGCAATATATTGCAAGGATCTTGCAAGGCCCGAACAGTGACAAGACAATCTGCAGCCCTCACCATGTTGCACTGGCAGCTTACACCAACGTGCTTAGCACTTTTCGTCAAAGAATATTCTCAAGACTATGTATGCTGCGTGCAGAAGACAGCACTCCTGAGGGCAGTCAGGAAAAATGACACTGTTCAATTTCAGCTGGACAATGTATGTCAATGCCAAGGCTTTCTCAGCATTGGCTCATTGTATGGACTTTGCTTCCTAGAAAAAGACCAGAATTATTTTAAAATTTAGCATATTCAACTATGAATGGATGTGTTCTGTATTCTATACTCTAGAAATTCTCCTAAATAATGCCACCAGAATCACAAGATTCCAGTGAGTCCAGAGGAGGGCCATGAAGCTGATCAGAGGGCTGGAGCACCTCTCCTGTGAGGACAGGCTGAGAGAGTTGGGGTTGTTCAGCCTGGAGAAGAGAAGGCTCCAGGGAGACCTTATAGCAGCCTTCCCGTACCTGAAGAGGGACTGCAGGAAATCTGGAGACGGACTGTTTACAAGGGCACGGAGTGATAGGAGTGAGCTGGAACTATGAAAGGAAACTACACAAACAGAAAGGGTCCTATTAGATCTTCTTTGCTACTACGCAACTAGCATGAACGGCACCTAGCCTTACAACTGTATTATCCAGTTTTACACGAGCATAAGTGAACTGACTTTTAAATGACTTCCAGTGTACAAAGGATAGATAACAGGACAATTAACTCAGTGAATTTGTTTCAGTGTGACCGCACGCTGCAGGAAAACAATCAGTGTGAAGACGCTCAGAGGATATTTCTAAGTAAAATCTTAACCCAACATAGAGAAGAAGGGTATACAAATCATAAAGCCAGCTGGACTGAATGGTTGTAAAAAGCCATTAAAGACTTCTGTATTTATTGAGGTGATAGTGAAAAAGCTACCACTGACATATTGAGGGCATTGAGCTCCATATGAACCTACTTTAACTTTTATGTTCTTTCCTTGACTCTCATTCATGTCACAGCCAAAACCACACACACAATATGTGGCAAAACTGAGCTTTTGTGGCAGACACCATCTTTTTCTGAAATGAAACTGAAGGGCTTTTCTCATTGTAAATCCAGATTTTTAAGTGATTGAGTAGAATATTAAGTTTATTTCACTCATAAGTAGAAAATACATAGAAATGCACTTGCTTATGTCTCTCAGATTTTCCTTACAAAAACTGATGACACAAAGTAAAAGCACCACTCTGAAAGAAAAACTAGAAGACCAGATGCCCAGCATGCATAAATCAGCATAATTCCTCACAAGTCTATGTAGTCACAGTGATTTATGCAAACTGAAGATCTGGCCCTGTATTCCTAGCTGTCCTGATCAGATATCATGAGGAAAGTTTTTTAACCCTTCAGAATATATATCTTTGAACCCCTGAAGGTACTGGAAATAAAGTTTTGTGCAAATGCAAATCTCCCGTCTGCACACACAAGACACCATTAGGAGCCATAACCCCTCTTGGTCTCGGAGACTTTTGTTGTATACGGTGTTCTTGTATACAAAGGAAGTAAAAAATCTCAGATTTTAACTTAACCCCAGCTACTTCAAACTATTTGATTATTTTTTTTTAATTTCTATATACTAGGAAAATAGGATTTTCCTTCACTTCCCAATTCCTGCCTTGTACTTAACAAGTAACAGTGCTGTCCTCCTTCCCTTCAAAGAAAAGCCCTCTAAGCAAAAAAGCAAAGAAATCCAGGCACACAGGAAAATGTTCATGGCTATGGGCTCAGGACGCTGGGTACACCCATGCCTTTTCAGGAAGGGAAGCTGGCAGAGAGCTGAACAGAAAGAGAACAAGCCATGCTTGATGTGGGGATAAGGATTTTAGTTCTTTTAATTATGTGACCCCTACACCTCACCTCCGAAGCTTGCCTATGACAGCCCAAGCTTTATATCTGGAAGAATACCTCACTCAGAGACTATCTCCAGGATGTATTAATAGCTTTTAATAGCTATGATAGACACTCACTGGTAGTATTACTGATTCTTAAAGGTTGTCCAGGCTGCTATATGCTAAAAATGCTGTATCTTATCTGTAGCTTCATCAGTCATACCTGGTCATTCAGAAAAAAAGGAATAAATGCATCTTATTCTTATAGTGTAGATTTTTCCTGTATAATTTTATACAAATCAGCTACTGAAACACAGGAATCTATATCTTACTAATAAATATCCCCCACTTCTCTTTCACCAGAAAAATAAATCACAAATATTCTGAAGGCTTAAAATAGCTGCTTAAGACACACACTTGATGTACCTCCGTAGAATCATAGAATCATTTTGGTTGGAAAAGACCTTTAAGATCATCAAGTGCAACCTGTCTCCAGAAGCCATCACTACAGATGACTAAATCTGGAGAAAGCTGAACAGCTTTGCCACCATTTCTTTTAATAACCACCCTTACTTTAAATAGAACTATTTTCTTACTGTACTTAACATTATTTATTAAGCTGCCAGCCTTCACAGGAACAAGGAAGTGTATCCTTATACAGAGGGAAATCTGAATATTTTTGCAATGAATTTTGCAGTGTCGGGTTCCTCCAAGGTGATACTGCACATTTTAGCATATTGCTTCCTATCCTAGAGTACTTCGAGACAATTAAAAATCTTGACTGAAAATATTATCAGGTTCCACAATGTCTGTGACAGTGTGCAAGCAAAGATTAAGCATATATTGCAGAGATGAAGACAGGATATCTTTTTTATTTATTTATTTCTCTTAGTGCATACTATTATAACTCACAATTGTCATCTCCCGTGTTTTTATAATGGCACAACATTCTCTTAAGCAGCAGGTTAAACAAATTGCTGAGACAGATCCTTTCTTTTATACTCTTTCAGAAGTCTGAAGTATCGTTCCTCTGCCTCTTGCCAAGGCCACCTGATTGTCACTTTAACACAGGACTATTTTCGATTTACCACCTCAGTCCAGTTACATAGACCTAATTTCCCCTGTGAGGTGAAATGGTTCTTGTTGGAACCACATCCAGCTGAATACGAGAACTCTGAAAAACTGCTGTTCATATGCTAGACAATCATTTATCAAATTAGCTGCTGGGAATATCTGCCATTAAATACACTGTAGGACAAATGGCTTTTCTGTAAATTGCAAGACTTAAATGGAACTAGTTATTGCCTCATGCACCGCTCATTAGCAACATGATTTATATCAAATTCCAAAATATGGGTCAGATGTAGATGTGCTGTTACTGATTGCTTAGACACTATCAACTGTCGCAGCAAAAATCCCTTAGGAATTGTATGCTGTCACTGGGTAGCCACCAATCTTATAATTAACAACTACTAAAGGAATAATAAATGTGTCAATGACTCTCAAAATTGTTATCACTACTGCAAATAATAACTTAGAATAAAAAAAAGTTTAAAAAGCGATATGTGTTTAAGCATCTCTGCTTGTACATTTTCATTAACAGTTCAGCAATCTTTTTCATCAGCAAAGATGTAAAAAGCAGTGACACTTATTTATAGAAAAATGCACTTGCCCATGCTTTGAAATCTCTCTTGTGTATCTTTTCTATTGCACCTATTCCCCTCTCCATTTTTTTCCCATGAGTCCATTTAGAAGTGAGTACGTACTAGATTCTCATCTACTCCAATAAAACTAAACAGAAGCAACTATCAAAATATGCTACTTTTTCCAAATCAGATGTATTTATTATTGCAAGAATGCTTATTGTTATATTATGCATCTGTCAATGTTTCTTTTCCTCCTGCCTTCAAACAGAGAGAGCAGATGTGCCTAAAACTATTGTTTTAAGTGCCAGGAGATCTCGGATCAAGAAAACAGGGACTAATGAATTGGACCTTTTAAGATTCTTTCTCCCTTCTACACCTTTCCCTCTGGGAAACATACCTTCAGCTAGTCTAGATACCTTAAAAATCTGCTGTGTTGCCTGAGGAAAGATGTGAAAACACAGAAATGCCTATAGCCACTGAACATCATGCATTTTCAACAATCAGCAAACACGCTGGTTTGTGACAAAAGAATTATGTGAGATCCTCAGTAATGTTTCCTATCCACCATAGGAGATGAATTATGTGACATACAACTATCTTGCTTTAAAGGCTGGCTCCTGAGCTTTGTGCAAAGGGAAAAAAGTAGGATACTGCCAAATATATACACAGACATTCCATCTCCATTCCTATGGTAGGAGCAGACTAATACTTGCATATGCCATGTGTCTGATAATTTGAAGAGGAGGAAGAAGGGAGAAGAGGAATGTGAGGATGATCTTCATACAGAATCCACCCAACATTTCCCCACGAGAAATTCCCAGCTTTGTCACAACATAGGTCAAAACATTTAACCTCTCCCAACCCCACAGTCTGCCTTTTTTTTTAAGTGGGACTAAACACACTCTCCCAGGTTCCTAACTCTGTCACTCTTGTTGCGTGTCTCTTCATGCCCCAGGCTCCAGCTGAGTTAGAAACAAGCTGTTTTGTCTTTCCTTTCTCTCTCCACTTTGATGTCATCAGGGTAACACTGAGAACACTGAAGACTGTGCAGGAGTAGAGGTATAAACAAGAGCTGGAGAGAGCAACCACAGGGAAAATCCCTTTCAACCCCTACACCATGGCCAGCCATGCTGTGGGTAACCCAGTCAGCACTTTAAGAATTAGCTGCATACTGGATATTCTCAGCTGGACTTTATTTTTCCTAGTTTATTGCCAAGAAGCCTCTACTGATCATGCAAATGCTAAGATTTTACAGAAGGTTACAACTTCACCAAATTTGATGATGCGGAAATGAGGCACCCTCCCTACTGCCACATGCAAAAGTGGACAAGAGTGCTCCTCTCCTGGCTCCAGAGCAGCACAGCCATGCTGATTGCTGGGCTCAGCAGCATCAGCTTTGAGAACTTCTCCTAGCTACTCTTTCACCTTCAGCAGGGCTGCACTGCCTGAAGGACCAGGAGGCAGAAGGACCAGGACGGTTGATTTGCATGTGGCTAAAGTGGGGAACAACTGGGAGAGTGCAGTCCTTCTGTGAAAGGTGAGCAGGGTGGTGGGAGTCCAGCAGCTGCCGGCTGGACCATGGGGTGACTGGTCATGGTCGGCAGGCCCTCCTGTGGGAGAGGAGGCTGAAAGAGAAGCCTGCCAGGGCTCAGGATTTGCTTGTGGTGTGAATGTGTATGGACTCGGCAGGAGGACTCACCTGAGCTGGAAGGGGACTGGACGTTTGTGGTGCCTGGGATGCAGTGCTGAGTTGCGGCTGTGGTGGAGGTAGGCTGCAGATCTGTGTAGAGAAATGGAGACACAACAGCTGTTTTGTCTTACCGTGACATGAGAGCATGTCCTGCATGTCCAGTCTACCATCAAGTCTGAAACACTCTCTCTTTTTAGACACACAAAGGGAAATGACTGACATTTCTGCCTATAAAACCAGGCAATGATGCAGAAGAAACAGCCCCAAATCACCTCCAGAAAACCCAGCAATGGCAGCAGAAACACTCTCCACACCTCTTAGGGAAAATGAACTTCAGCAAATGAAGTGGCTGTGGAGAGCAAGGCTCTGACAAGCCCACCCTGGCTTCAGAGAGTGCTGACAGTCATTGGGAGAGGGCGGACGGTGACCCACTGGACAGAAACACATGGGGAGAAGGGGCAATCCCACTCTGTCAGGAGAGGCTCAGGCAGCATGCAGGGACTTCAACAGCTTCTGGTGGCAGCAAGAGATTTTGCTCCCAACAGAGCAGCCTGTCTCCTGTCCTCACCCTCCTGCCCTCAAGCTGGGCATCTGTTCAAGCTTGGTGCAGGTGTGATGGAGCAGGGCCAGCTGAAGCCTTTGTGGCTGGCTAGGAGCTCGCGAGCAAATTTTGTTTACACTCACTGGGCTACTCCACCTTGGAGATTGTCTGTTCAGTTCTGTAGCAGGAACTGCATTAGCCTTAAAAAAAAGAGCTGTGGAAATGCACCCTTCTCAAAAAGCAGGTCTGCCTTAACATCTATGAGAATCAAGGACAATGTGCCTGAAGGCTTCTTCCCAGCCCATGTACAGGCTGACAGAGGTTCTGTCAACCCCGAGACTGCTTGGTGATGGGGTGAAGCTTTCCAGCCGAGCTGGCTTGGCCTAAAGGGTTTAAAAGCAGGGGAAAAAGAGACCTTGGTGCTTTAAGCCCAAACCTTTTCCTGCTGTGCTTTTTTCCTGCCCACAATAAAGGAGGCATCACTGTACAAGCTGCTGTATTCCGCTTGCTCATATTGAGCAGTTGGCATGAAGTGTTGCCCCATACAGTTGTGTAAGCAGCTAATTATGGTTCTGCAATTAGCCATGTGGAAGGACAGGCTGAGGAGGGAAGCACTGCAACAGCAGGCACAGAAAGGTCCCTGAGCCAGAGCCACCAAACAGTTGGGTGAGCAGATAGCTAAGTCTGGAAGATAGGATCAGAGTAGGGATGAACTTTATAGGGGAGGAAATAACCAAATTAAAGGAGTGACAGCATACAAAATACATGCATCAGTTGGACTACTAGATAGGAGAGCTAATTGGACACAGTCATTATATTACTGTGGGCAGGGGGGAAGTCCAGAAATAGGTATTCAAGCAGTGACTTTTAGCTAGCTTTTGCAACTTCTCCTTTTTTCTGTCTTAGCAGATACAAAACCAGACTGTATTTGTTTATACATATATCCTGACTGACATGTATATTTATTTTTACACTAGGAGAACATTTGTAATGGTGTCATTTGATAGGTTACTAAATTGAAAAGGAAATGCATTCTTAAATTACTTATTAGGTCCTGAAAACAATTCACAAGCAAATATCCTGTTCTCCAGAGAGGGAACTCATTAACCATTGTAACAGCCTTGCATATGCTTGGAACAAGAGTCCTTGAAACAGAATAATGATTGCAAACAACTGTCCTTTGAGGTCTGTCAGGAGGGCAATGGTTACCCCTCTCAACTGCAATTCCATTCAGTCCTCTTAGTCTACAAATGAAAAAGCAAATATCCATGAACATATCAGAGAGGATTAACAGATCCCAAAGAACTGGCCTCCAAGTCCTCCCATTTCTCCTGCAGGGAAACCAGCTAATAGAGCCAGAGCACTTTACCCTCAATAGCCAAGAGATAATTAGGTTGGCTACTGCTTGCTTTTGTGTCAATGAAACTAAAAAATTGATGGAGTTGCCTTTCCACAGCTTTCCTAATGATCTTCCTGAAATGGCAAGTGGGTCACAAATCAGCAGCCAGCTAGACTGTTAGCATCAACAACTGGTTTCCAAGTGCTGGCACACAGACTTTCAGTTCATGGAGCTTATGTGCTTTGGATCCTGTAGGATCCCTGTGGAGAAGACGGACACCTTTTCACAATGCTCCAACTACGCACAACCATCTTGGAGAGGTCCAATGGTTTACTAGTCTTCCAGAGTAAGAGGACATACAGACAACATTTTCCAGTGCAAGTAGGGAAA